TACAGACATACACACATACAGACATCATCGCGAAAATAGTCAAAACGAATTCAGGGTGCTGGAACCCAAAATGACCTTCATTTCATTCAAACACGTACAGTTTTTTTGCGAAACTTTTGGTTTACATTTAAAAAACGACGAATATTGTTTACAATAAAATTAACAATAGATATTTTTTATAATTAAAAAAAAAAAGAGAAAAAAAGGAACAGAAACGAGAAAGAAAAAAGAAAAATAAAATAGAAAAAAAAAAAAAAAGAAAAATGATAAAAAAAGAAAGAAAACAAAAACCTAATCCTTCATGACAGTCAAAAAATCCGATGCAGTTTTTTGATTGTAGACCTGCGTGTTATTAATTTGGAATAAAAAATATGAATTAGGTGTTATAAGAAGCAACTTTAATTTATTGTAGATATTTTGTTATAAAATAGTATCTAGAATATAGTGATGGGTGGAAAGCAGTAAATGTCAAACTTAAAAATTTTCCATTTGATATTTTTTACAAAAAAAGCGAAAATAGGAATCTTTGAAAATTAGGTAGATAGCTACGTATTTTCTTATATTTTAAAATTATGAATTCAAACTTTTTTACAAAGATATATCTATCTATTTACCTATGTTGTTTATATAATTTGATAAGTAAAATACCTAAAAAACTATAAGAAACATTGTGAGTAAATTTGGGTACCTACCCATTTCAAGAAAACTAATCATAGGATGACAACAAAATATTGATGAGTTAAATACTGAACTTTTGTAAAGTCATCGGAGAAAATTTTAAAATTGGTTTCTACCTACAGAACGGTGTAAAAAACTAGGTACTTTTCTAATTTATTGCAGAATCGTCTTGTTATAATTTTTCAATTATTATAATAAGTAAATAAGCAAACTTTTATTTGACTATCCATAAACAATCTAAATTCCTTGACATTTCCTAATATTCCAGAAATTAGTCACACTCTGCGGATCCTGAATAAAATAAATTATATTGTTTGCAAGGTTTCAAATTTGAAGAACTAAAGATGTGCTTTTAATTTTTTTTTAATTTTATCAAACAAATAATAATATCTATTATTAATACTCTCCTCAATTCACCACCTTACGAGTGAATTTCAATTCCTGAAGATGACTGAGCTTGGGTGGGGATCGGGCGGATATTATTAATATTTGACATGTCACCAAAAATTAAATTACTGCTAATACGGCACACGTCAAATCCTATTAACGAACCATGCAAATTAATTAAAAATTCACTTGATCTGATGTAGGTTTCGAAGCCTCGTGTCTCTCAACCACAAAATTGCATATATAAGCGCATGCAACAACTACGCCACTGAGACGATTGTGAAATGAAAGTGTTAAAATTATTTATTAAAACATAGCTAAGCATACATATTCATATTTTTAGTATTTTCACCAGTACCATTTTCAAGATTAGCTCTGAAAATCAATATTTGACTGGATGACCGAAACTATGGGTGTCCCGAAATTAGATACTCATATTTTAACAGCTTAATCTACATCCTAAAATAGGAGTAAAAGTTCATATAAATATAGGTCCGAAAATGTTTCTTTTCCGGGATACAGGGTGTTAAAGTTAAAAGTGAAGTCTGGATGACACACTTTTGTAAATATTTTCTAAACGTTTCTAAGTAAAATTTGGTACAAATGCTTACCTTTTTAATGGACTAAACCTCAGTTTTTGATCATCTTCATAGGTGGGTAAATTAGGGGGGATTAGGGTAAAATTGCCCTAAGTTTTTTTGTTGACAGTTTTTAACATTTTTGACTATAAAATTTGAAAAGCTAAGGTTTTCTTTATAATAAAGCTACCTTTGTTGCATCTCGCTAGGACGCACCATTTGCAAGAGAAAAGCATTTGAAAATTTCATGATAAGTTGATGTTATCATATTCAAAAGTGTAAATAATAATTAGTAGGACTGTGTAATCAGAAATTTTATTTCTTTTTTAACTTTGGAAAACCGGTGACTAAAGAAATTTTAGAACATATTCATGACTTCACTTGTAACACCCTGTATCTCGAAAACGAAACGTTTTCTGACCTATGTTTATATGAACTTTACTCCTATTTTAGGATGTAGATTACGCTATTAAAATATGACGGTCTAATTTCAGGACACCCTGTATATGATTTAACAAATAAATTTTACACAAAAAAATATAATAGGAATATATAAGTTCTTCATAAGCAAATTTGTAAATAGTCTATAGTCTACAGAATCTTTCAAAAAGTAAGTACCTACCTAGATAATGCTATGAATACCTATCTATTGGTATGGAAACACCCTGGTATATGGATTTCCAAAAAATATTCTAAAAACTACCAAATCTCAAAACTGGGCGGGTTCAAAATCTAGAAAAATGAATTTTGTATATAAAAAAAATAAAAATAATTAAAAATCAGTTAAATTAAAAAAAAATCTTCTATTTCTCTGCCCTAGCTGCTCTGCTCCTGCTCCTGATGTTGCTTCTTATTTTAACTCTGGTCTTCCTTTTTTTTTATACTCTCCTAGTCTCCTACCTCTTGCTGTTTCTTTTCTCTACCCTGGCTGCTCTGCTTTATTTTGTATCTTAGTTTCAATTAAATAACTTTTCTTTACCTGTTTAACTTTTTTAATCTTGTAAATGAATCCATGAATTATTTTAATAATCTTTTCAAAATTTTATAAAATTTTCTGACAATCTATATTCTCTGTTACAGTTTCTTTCAAAATCTCAATGACAATTTTCTAAATATCTTTATTTCTCATCTTCATCTTCAAAAATTCTAATGACAATCTATCATTCCAAAAACCAAACAACAACATCCTTGATAATTTCACAATAATATTTTACTAGACTCTAAATCGTCCAGCTTTGTTAACTTCAATTTTGACATATTAATTTTAAAATTAGTTATCTGGGAATTTCCCTTACCACTATATCTAAATAACGATCTTTTTGAGCGCATAATTTATATAAACTAAACAATCTATCATGTTAACTGACGATGCAACTTTCTATTACTCCAATTCCAATTTCAGTGAATTTCAACTAAAGGACAGCAATACAATTAATATTAATACTAAATATAGGTATCTCTAACTGAAACCTAATAGAACCAAAAATCAAAAAAATGTATATATGTCCTACAACTAATTGTTTGATATTAAAATATAATTCGGTAAATACTTGGAATTTCAGTTGATGACTCTTTAATAGTCTCAGGTCTCAACATGTTTCAAATCTTTGTACCTACTTATATAACGTTTTCAAGACAAATATATCTAGAAAGAAGACTGAAACAGTAGACTATGAAATTATTCGTTACCTACTGCCTATTTCTGAATATTTGATAGCCACATTAATCACAGTAAGTACATAATTATTAGGGGAAATGTTTGCCATGTAATTTGAGCTTTTTCGTAGCTAAAAAATCTGTAAGAGTACTTGACGGAGTTTCCAGGCCTCTTCTTAAGAAACTAAAATAACGACTTTTCCACGAATTTATATTTATCAAAGTTTATTGCAGGAAATTCACAAAAATATCTCGAATCAGGCATTTCAAAACGACAATCATTTGCACAATACATGGAATGCTAATTGTCTACCTAAGAAGCGATACACACTGAAAGTAAGTAGGTATCTGTTAAAAACTCTGATAATCTAGATGAAATGAAAAATTTAGTAGGTACATCCCAATTTTAAAAAAGTCATCAATACTGTGGGCACCATCAATATGTATCATTTTATTCAGTTGAATATTTTCAACGAAATGTATTTAAATTGTTCTATTAAACTGCTTTAGTAAATTTTACATTGTTTATCAATTTATTGATTTAATATTTGTGTTTTATTCTAAGTAAGATTTCAACAGTATGCATATATTTTATAGTTATATAGAATGAATTAAGACGTAGGTACAAGTATTAGTGATGGGTCGCTTGAAAAACTCAACAGACAAATCTGACAAGTTGACTAGTCCAAACACACTTTTTAAAAGTGGAAAAGTGTATAGCACATGCGCGAAATTATATTAACTAATTTGTCTGAATTTCGTACAAACAAAAGCAAAATATAAGTAGTTTAAAAATGAAAAAACTACAAATGCCTTACTGACTTTTATATGTTTTTACGATGTTTTCGAATTTTCTTCTTATATCTTATTAAAATAAACATGTAAAAAACTACAAAAAATACAAAGGGTGGAAGTATTTTTCAAATTATTTGCCTAAAAAACGAAAATAAAAATGCAAATAATATTCCCAATGTGTTCTTAAAAAAACATACTGTAGATTTAACTGTGTGACTTCTATGCCCAAGGTCGACTACTTTTTATTGTTACTTTTCACTACTTTTCCGGACATGTCCGTCGGACTAGTCCAGAAATTACTTTTCATGAAAATTCCCATCACCAACAAATATTGTACAAATTTAAAGTAATTTAAAGTAATCAACAAATATCTATCTCCAATCAAAATCCCATAAAATTCCAGAAAGTACCCACCCAGAATTATATATAAAAATAATATTGGCACATTATCAGAAAATATCTGACTTTTCCACTCTAATTACTCAGTAAAACAAAAACAAATTTTATCGCAAGTGCGTTTCTGTTCTAAGCCCCCATCGACATCTCTTCTTCCTGCAAACGAAAACAAAACCCTATCGCCACAGCAGTAAGTAGCGTATTACGCAACTCTCGAATCAGAGCAGCGATTGTCGCAAAATCGAGCAAGCGCTGACCGACGAGAGCTATTACGAAAAATCAACACGTAAAAATCAGCCTGTCATTGTACACAAGCCAGCCACCTAACACTCAACTGTTTTCTATTAAGGAGCACACCTGCTCCGGCCCCCTACTTTTTCGCCTCTGCGCGTTCATTGGCCGCGAAACCGCTGCCTCGTTTCCATTGGTCGCGCGGCACGTGCTGGTTGAGGAGTGGGAAAACGCTTAATAGCCAGCCAAAGAGCTCTTCCTGGTCATAGCTCGCTCGATGTTACAAGTGTTTGTATCGTTTTATTTGGTTAAGTTGCTGTGTATTTACGAACTGTATTTTGGATTATTTGATTTTTGCGAAGTGATTAATTTGGTGATTTGACGCTCTGTTTTTTTTATTTGGATTATTTTGTTTGTGATATGCCTGTCAGCATGATGGCGAAAAATTACGCTAACTGTCCTCTGAAGAAGAGGCCTATCGTTTTCGATGATATACCTGGTAAGTTTAGAAAATTATTAATGCAGTAGTTTTTTTTTTAATTTGAAACCCACAATTTCCCCAAAATTTGTATTTTAATTAGTTATTTTAACTCCTATAAAAATTGAGAAATTTAACAAAATAATTCACAATGTTTTAAGCAAAGATTGGAAAACATTTTATTATTTAATATAAGGAAAAGAGAAATTTTAAATGATTTTGTGAAGGATTTCTATGTAATACGTTTTAAGTTTTGACATTTAGACAAGTAAAAACATATATAAAAGCTTTAAGATTTGTTTTCTAAATTCTAAAAATTAAGAAAAATATGTCATAACAAGTGTCATCTATATTTTATGTATTTATTAGGAATAACATATTATTTAATCGCACCTAATAAAAAATATATTAATTTTAAATTAAATTAACAGTTTTAACATTTTTCTAAATTTGAATAGGTAATAGAAAAAATAAAATAGGAATAATTTTTTATTTATTTATTTTTGTAATAATTATTCATGGACCCATACATTTTAGTGTTATTGTTATAACTTATTAAAAGAATAAAAACAAAATAAAAAATGCAAATTTTGTTGTTTACAGAAAATGTTCTTTGAAAGATAGAATTGAAATAAAAAGAAATGTTTGCATTAAAAAATTCCCATATTTTAATATATTTAAAACAAAGAAGTATCAATCACTTTGAACTTTATAAAATTGTATTATACCCTTTATAAATAAGACCTAATCTTGAAAATATTTGGACATCAATAATGTGCTCTCGATTCCTTTATATTTTACATCTCGTTTAAATTGGTATTTCCAAGCTTAATATATTTAATAATTTCTGCTTTTAATTACCTATCAATTATCTTGGCAAACAAAATCAGTCACTTTCTTGTAAACCATGTTAATACTTTTATTTTGTCTTTTTTACTTATTAATTTTTAAACTATTTATGTCATTTGAAATTTCTCTAAACAAAGTTTAATTTACAATTTTTAAAACAATTAAAATTCAAAAATTATTTTGTTTATGTATTGGCCATATATATTTTTTTAAATCTCATTTACTTTAACTTACCTATTTTTATTTTATTATTTTTTATTGAAATAGAAATTAAAATAACTTCTAATGCTAATGAATTTTATAAAATTGAACAAAACAGAAGAATCCTAATCAAAACGTATCTATAAACTGAAAAAGTTAATTAATTAATTAGGTATTTTGTATAATAAAAAAAAATTAAACATTTTCAATTTTATTTTCAAAAATAAAAATTTTTAATAAATAAATGACACTATTGTAAAATTAAAAATTATTCCAACAAAAACTTTAAAATAGACATGTGAGCGTTGACAGAATTTCGTAAAATTGACAAAGGAAAAGTAATTATTTTTAATTTCTAATAAAATAATTATATATTTTTTCTGTTAAAATTAAACATTATTATCAAAAAAAAAAAAATCATAAATAAATAAATATTCTTGCTAAAATTGTGTACACAAAAGTCAATTTTTTTAATATTAAATATTGTAACAATTATTAACAAAGCAGTTATATCACAAATCCCTTATTTTCGAAATATTTATTCACTATTTTTTTAAAAGACTTTTTTTTCTAACCTTATTTTTTCCTTGTTTCAGAAGAACCAGAAAACTTATCAACAAAACCAGAAGACCTCAGCCGTACAGGTCGTCTAGCCTCAGAATCTCCACCATCTTCCCCAACCCTATCACCCTCAGCATCCCCAGAATCGTCCCTAACCGAATCACCTCCATCATCTCCCCCATCGTCACCATTATCCTCACCTCCAATGTCCTCCCCATCCCCCACACACTTTATGTACCAAGCACCCATCAAAGTGGAACCTCTACGAGAATATCCAGTACCGATCAGCCCAGATTATGCTCCCCAAACTTGGCACAGGAGCGTAGCACCTATGTACCATCCAGCTTACCATCCATACATGTACCCGTACCACGAGAATCCGTACCACATGGGACCAACTTCGCCGTACAGCGATAGCAGTCTAAGTCCTCCACATCACATGCAGCAACCTTTGCAGCCTTTAGCCTTACGACCTGTGTATTCCTCAATGGATCAAAATAGTTTGAGCCCTAATAGCAGTACGACTTCCCCACCTCCACAAACCGTGCCAAATGCCGAAGATTTGTCCGAGAAAAGGAGGCAAGGTGTCAGACATCAGTGTCCAGATTGTGGTAAAAGTTACTCCACCTTCTCTGGGTTGTCCAAACACAGGCAGTTCCATTGCGCGGCCGGTGAGGGACCCAAAAAGTCTTTTAGCTGTAAATACTGCGAAAAAGTCTACGTATCTTTGGGAGCTTTGAAAATGCACATTCGTACTCATACTCTACCCTGCAAGTGTACGATTTGCGGTAAGGCTTTCTCGAGGCCGTGGTTACTTCAAGGTCACATTCGTACTCATACTGGTGAGAAGCCTTTTTCGTGCACCTACTGTAATAGAGCCTTCGCCGACAGATCTAACTTGAGAGCTCATCTTCAGACGCATTCCGATGTCAAGAAGTATTCCTGTACGACGTGTAGTAAAACGTTTTCAAGGATGTCATTGCTGACCAAGCACAGCGAAGGAGGATGTACCTTGATGCATTTGGACAAAATGTGTTAGTTTTGGTGCGAAAATACACTTTGTTACTTTAATGTTATTAAAAATTTGTTTGGAATAGAAATATTTACTACAGATTGTTTGAAGGTAAATATGTTTATTCCTGATTAGTCGACGTAAAGATATATTGTTATAAAACTGAACATTCCTTGCAGTATTGTGAGTGCCTTTTTTGGAAAAGACTGATTACTTGATCTTTTTTTATTGTACAAAAACTCGAATCTTAGGGTAAAATATTTGATAAAAAAATCTTAATATATTTTTTTTGCGTATGTATATATTGTATTCGTGAAGATATTTTTCTAGTCAAGAAGGAAGTGTTGTAGCTTCTTTTTAATGTTATATTGCCATTGTATAGTGCCTTAAATATTAGCGTTTTTGAAACTACACAGATTTTATTCTATTTAATAAACCAAGTTATTTATGAAATTGTTGTTTTAATTTTTTTTCCTATACAAACGAAATTACAACGAAATGTAATTCAAACCAGTTATTTGCAAGGAAAATATGTCCCAAATAAGAGTTTTGCAGGGTATCCCGACAACTAAAAGAAATTGAAAAAAGTTCGTTAGATGTCATTACTTTGTTTTTGTTAAAGTAACGATTGCCCAATTGAATTTACATTAGCTCTCTTCATTTACGAGATACAGGGCGATTACTGAAAACTGTCAAAAACTATAAGATTCTATAACTTTTTTATTAAGAAAACTTTAAATAAATTTGTGAGTTCAGTGGCGTACAAAAAGAACTTTTAGGAGGCCTCACTAAGGATATATAACTAAACTTAAACTTTTTTAAATGTAACACCCTATACATTTTGCCATTTTTCGTTTCCAATTTATTTTTCTTTCACCTAATATAACATATTTAGATATTTTCAGCGGTTGGAAATACAAGGAAACTAAAAAATTTATTCTTCATATCACGTTAAAAACACATTAATTTTTCTGAGAGGGAGAGCCTTTAAAAAATTGCGGAAGTTTGAGACTCTTTAAAAAATAAAATAATAATAATATATATCGAAAAAAAAAAAAAAATACGTCAGACCTTATTTCTTACTAATAACTTAATGCTTCCGGAATAAAATTTGATTGAAATTTTTAACAAGCACCTTAGTATTTTTCTATTTGAATATAATTACTTACGATAATTTATTCTGTAGGAAAAGAAAGCCATAGAATGAAAATAAGCTAATAACATAAATTTAATGTAGAATTAAATTTTTTAATATTTAAAGCGCAAACTGAAATTGGTAAGGAAACAGCTATCAACCTATTTATAAATAATGAGCTTTATGTATGTAATATGTACCGAGTGTTCTATTAAGAGAGGCATATTTCAGAAACTAATAATAGTACAGCTTTTTTTAATAAAACGGTCAAGAGAAATTGCTGCAAATTATTTTCAAGTTTGTAGGATGGCCAATTGTGACGTCAAAACATAAAAATTTAATTTTCTCAAAAAATTATTAAGTAAAGTATATTGATAAATATTACTATTTTAATCTTCAATATTTTCTGAACAAAAAAGCTTACGGTCAAATTTTTGTCAGTTGTAAAATAGATTTTACGAACGCCGCTAGATGGCGTTAAGTTAAAAACTGACATATTTTACGAAAATTTTCGAAAAATTTTAATTACAACGCTAGATCTGTTCCAACAACGATCAGAAATCAGTCATTGACACCAGAATTATGCGCAGTAAATTTTTGAGACCGGCAAATTATCTCAAAAAGACCAATACTTTGGCAAAAACCGCATTTATACAGTATGGTTCAAATGAAAGGAATAAATTCATTATAATGGAAGTAGTTGATTTTTCGAAAAAATGCTCGGACAAGTCAATTTTGTTTACTTAAAGCGCAATTTTTTAAATAGAATTTAATTTTTCCCCACTTCCCATTTTTGGGCAGTGACGTCATTGACAATTTTTTTAAATAGTAACCCCAATTTTTTTTTCTTGATTTTGATAGATCTTGCAATTTCCTACTCGAAAACATAATATTTGTAATATCTGACATAACATTTTATTTTGAAATACAATAAATGAATAAAAGATTATTTGTAATTAAGTGCTTCATCTAACAAAAAAAAAATAATAAAAAGAATTTAATGACAATTTCACAAATTCTTTTTTATTATTATTAATATTATTATTATTATTATTATTATTATTTTGTTAGATTAAGCACTTAATTATAAATAATTTTCTTTTATTCATTTATTGTGTTCTCAAAATAAAATAAAATTTATGTGTCTGATCTTTAAATGACTTTTATTCAAAAAAAATTATTATGTAAGGTATTTCAAATATTATGTTTCCGAGTAGGAAATTGCAAAATCTAACAAAATCAAGAAAAAAAATTGGGGTTACTGATTAAAAAAATTGTCAATGACGTCACTGCCCAAAAATGGGAAGTGGGGAAAATTGAATTCTATTTAAAAAAATGCGCTTTGAGTAAACAAAATTGACCTGTCCGAGCATTTTTTCGAAAAACTAACTACTTCCATTATAATGAATTTATTCCTTTCATTTGAACCATACTGTATATTTCTTTTCAAATGGCAGATTTTAGCAAAAATATAATTAAAACGTAAGGACGTAACACATTTAATGACACAGCATTTTCTACTAGGTCGATTTTTTAAGGTATAAGGTGTTGTTGGGTAAAAGGGACCTTGGGGTAATTGGGCTCAATACTTTTTTGTTTTAAATATATTAGAATATGGGATTTTTTTATGTGTGGATTATTTATCCTAGTTCTTGGTACAAATTTAATTGTTACCATATCCACCATACGTAACATTGGCCACTTCCTTCATATCTGTCAAATCTATAAAAATAAGTTCAAGAAAATATCAGTTATGTTTAGACAAGGGCTTGCAAAAGTGATAATTTTCAAAATTTAAAGATAATAAATTAATAAAAGATAAGTTTATTTATAGGCAAATATGTGGTCACTTGGTCAGACACTTTTAATCCTACACCAGACTATGTGGATTTTTAATTAAATTTCATGGTTCGCTATAGGATTTAATGTGTGCCGTATTAATAGAAATTCAATTTCTGTTGATATGATATGACATGCATTACCGTCTCGATTATGGTGGGTTTTCCTAACCTGTAAGTCAAATGGCACCTTCGCTATGGTGTAAACATAGGTACTGTAAGGATTAAATCAGATTCTTTCAAACTACAGTAAGAATACAACTATTAGACATTTATCTGACTTAGAAATTAGAAAAATCGATTTTTCTGAGTTCTAAGTCGGAATAATCCAGTTTTCTGAGTTCTAAATCGGAATAATCCATTTTTCTGAGTTTCAAGTCGGACTAATCCATTTTTCTGAGTTCTAAGTAGGAATAATCAATTTTTCCGAGTTTTAAGTCAGAAAAATCAATATTTCCGAGTTCTAAGTTAGAAAAATCAAGTTTTTTCGAGTTCTAAGTCAGAATATTCTATTTTTTCGAGTCCCAAGTTAGAAAAATCAATTTTGATGAATTCTAAGTGGAAATAATCTATTTTTCAGAGTTCTAATTGGGAATGATCTATTTTTTCAGAGTTCTATGTCGGAATAATCTACTTTTTAGAGTTTTATGTTGAAATAATTCATTTCTTTTGAGTTTTAATTCAGAAAAATCATTTTTTTTTTTTTTTTAGTTTTAAGTCGGAATAATATATTTTTCCGAGTTCTAAGTAGGAATAATCTATTTTTCCGAGTTATAAGTTAAAATAATCCATTTTTTCGAGTTATGTCAGAAAAATCAATTTTTTTTCGAGTTTTAAGTCGGAATAATATATTTTTCCAAATTCTAAATGGGAATAATCTATTTTTTCAGAGCTGTAAGTCAGACACCTCAATTTTTATGAGTTCTAAGTCAGAATAATCTATTTGTTCGAGTTCCAAATTATAAAAATTAATATTGACGAATTCTAAGTGGAAATAATCTATTTTTCAGAGTTCTAAGTGGGAATGATCTATTTTTTCGGAGTTCTATGTCGAAATAATCTACTTTTACGAGGTTATGTTGAAATAATCAATTTTTTCCGAGTTCTAAGTGGGAATAATCTAGTTTTCCTAGTTCTAAATAACAATAATCTATTTTTTTAGAGTTCTAAGTAACACAACTTAATTTTTCCAAGTTAGAAGTCTAAATAATTTATTTTTCCAAATTCTAAGTCAGAAAAATCGATTTTTCCGAGTTCTCAGTCGGAATAATCTATTTTTTCGAGTTCCAAGTTAGAAAAATCAATTTTGACGAATTATATTTGGAACTAATCTATTTTTCAGAGTTCTAAATAGGAATGATCTATTTTTCCGAGTTTTATGTTGAAATAATCCATTTATCCGAGTTTTAAGTCAGAAAAATAAATTTTTTCGGGTTTTAAGTCGGAATAATATATTTTGTCCGAGTTCTAAGTTGGAATAATCTATTTTTCCAAGTTCTAAGTCAGAAAAATCGATTTTTTTTATAGTTCTAAGTCGGAATAATCCATTTTTCCGAGCTCTACTGAATAAAATAAATAATGTATATTAAAACAATGCTCAGTCGAAGAGGCACCGGAGGGCCACGGCAAATAATAATAATAGCCGTCCCTTCCCCTACACTAGTCGTTCAGTCAACTTCAGGGGTTGAAACTCACTCGTAAGGGGGTGAATTAGGGAGAGTATTGAGTGTTGAGTTTGGCGACGGCGATCCCAGTTACCCAGATTTTTCTTCTGAATGGGACAACTGGGACACCTGAACAAGGGCAACTGGAACCACTATGTCCCAGTTACCTCTTGGCCATAATTGCCGTAAGAAACAATATTTTTTTTTTTATTTCTAGATGTATAGAAAATATATCCGAAAGACAGAGAAAGGTGTAGGCATACGCTACACGAGAAGAAGTCTTGAACTTGCTGTCTTGTCACAGGACTCAAAGAGGGACAGCAAAGTTTTATGGAATTCCAGAACTACCTCAGAACAATATTTGGATGGTACTCGAGGACATGGATATGTCGCGGGGAAAACTGGCATCAAAGGCGGTGGTGGCAAACTTCAGCTAGTATAAAAGCTATGAAAAAATGAAGATTTGGGATATCGCGAGCAATAGTCTTAGATGTAGTGCAAACGTTTGTACGCGATAATAACTTAAGAACCAGTTTCAAAGACGGCAGACCAGGAGAAGAATGGTTCATTTTGTTAAAAAACCATAGGTTGTAGAAGTCGCGCGAATAAAGCAGATTTATCCATTCTCAGTCTATGGGTTTTATGATCTTCTGTCCAATACAATAAAAGACTTGAAATTGGAGTACAAACCATCGCAGATTTTTAATTGCGATGAAACTTCATTTAGCCACGACCCAAGAAAGACAAAAATAGTGGGAGCCAGAGGTATCAGAACAATATGGCTAACTGCCAGTTGTGGAAGAGAAAATATATCAA